GGCATTAATTAAACCCGTTGGTAAAGAGCATTGATTAAAATTTGGCACAAAGCATTGCGAAATCCACGCTTGTTTTGGCACTGGAACCAAGTTCACTCTAATCTTCAGTAATTTGGCAGTCCCTCTTCACATTTAAATCACATTCGCATACACAGGCGGTTCATTAAATGCTGACACAAACCAGTTGAATATTCAGAACATAAAATAGCAGTAGAAAAATAGGAAGTGAATTTTTTTAAATTACATACGTAATATCTTTTATAGATGGCGCTAAGGCATATTGTTTTGAAACATTAAAACCTCGACCTTAGACGCTATTAAGTGGAAATAATTTTATTATATTTAGTTCCTTAAAGTCGGATTTTGCATATACGGTTCATATGCCTTTAATACAGTCGTATTGATGTCGTGATGCGTTTCCTCAAACTGCGACTCCAAATAATAAAACAAAATTGGAATCATTTAGGTATACTGTTTCAGAACTACGGTGTATATATAATATGCTTCTATTTTATTATCGGTAGCGTGTCTTTTAACTGGAGAAGGGGGACATTTTCATAACAATTGTGTCTGGATTCGGAGAGTTAAATCAAGTCACAGCGATTGAAATTGTAGATATTACATCATCATGTACATGTTTTTTTATGAGTGTATGTACTTCATTTTTAACTTAAGTAAAAATATTTGAAAAGTGGTTGATAAAAAAATTAAAGTTTTCATTACGTAACATAATTTAAAAAACTCGGTCATTTAAATCTGTAAAGTAACTTATTTAAAATTTAATAAGTCGTCATTCTCATTTAACCGTCAGCCTCTCTTAACCACTTTAACTGTCATTTCACTCTCCCGTGAGTCATATATATGAACATTACAATTGTTTAACTATAGTGCTTTATCGTGGACAGGCTTCTTTCATATATCATATAATCTATATTTTTTCATCAAATCTTCGTCAACTTCACCTCTTAAAAGTAATGAATGTGCAAATAGTTCTTCAGTTTTTTGATAGATGGCGCTACAAGTTTTTTAAATCGCGTTATTAATGCGCCTTCTCAAATACTACCACATACATGTTTTAAATCGTTTTGGTAATTATCATTACAGCCTATCGAGAACCTATCTTCTCGGTGATTTTATTGGCGGCCCTTCGAGTTGTTGACTAAATAATTTAGTCAATCAAATCTTGGGTCTTTTAAATATAAATATCTCCTTCTAATTAAATAAAACTAAATTTACGGATTTGATCGAGTTTATTTAACTGAATTTACTTTTTTTTTTTGATTCCCGACGTTTCGGGTGCTTTACAGCACCCATGGTCACGGGGGACTGAGATGTTTGACGTCCCAATGTCATAATTAGCCCGGCTACCTTCAGTTTTTTTAATATTAATTTTTCGGTTCGATTTACGCAAAATATCTAATATAAATATCTCCTCTAGCAGTTGGTCAAGATCCAAGCTAATTTATTATTATTATAAACTAACTTATTTTAAATAATGTAATCTTACACAAGTAAGTCGACCCGGCTTCGCATGGAAACCGAATAAGATCTGTTAATTAATGTTTTAACTTCTTTAAAATTTTTTTTTCTTTTTTCTAAAAGTAATTTGCAAGTTCTAAGGTTTTCGGATAAAATGTAGCCTAGATCTCTCTTCTCTCTTGGCATTGCTATATGTCTATTCATAAAGTTTCATCACATTCGATTCAGCCATTCCTAAAGTTAGCTCGGATGAAAAATAAAAATAAAACTGTTATTTATGCTATTGTAGCATGCAACATAACTCCTTGGGCAAAACAGAAGCCAGTTCTTTCAATATTGATGAAAGAATCTATTACTGTGTATTTATGGGATATCATCAGTATAGTCATTTCGGCTCATCTCAAGTCAACTGCTGAACTTCACCATAGGTAAGAAGCATACTAAATAGTAAAAGAGATAATATTCCGGAGTAGTACATGACTTTGAAGTAGTATTAATATTAATAATAATAAGAGTCATTTATTTCAGGATTTTTTTCACCCATTTCAAATATCACTAAATGTTAAAAACAAAATACATGTATAATTATAAAGATACAATTACTAACTAAAATCATAAGTTAATACGAGCTCGTATTAAAATTGCACCCAAAAGGCGGTTTGCCAGTATGGGACATTCAGGGCACTCGTAACACACCCTGAGGATCTCGTTCCCTTTTATCAAAAAGTTACTCATTACAGTTGAATCAGAGTCAATTTTAATTAATAATACTATCCGTTAGCATCCTGGTCTTGTAGTGTTTTGAATTTCGCGTGTCTCTGACCTTGCATCCTTACTCTCTTCCATTCTTGCCACGAACGTGACATCTGATAGGAAAATTTGGCAAAGTAGCGTTGCTAATTTTTTGAATTAAATATATTTATTTATTTTACTTTTATTGTAAGGCACCTTAATTTAAGGGATACAATGGACGGACCTTATGCATTATGGTAATCTCTACCCGTCCAACCCGGGCAAACTAGAGAAATAAGTTGATAGGTGTTAGAAAACTGTTAAATATAAAATAGAATAGAATCGGTTTTAGATTCATATTAAACTACAAGAATGCATATCACCATGCAATCATCATGCAATCACACTTCTAAGCGGCTTTTCGCCGCTTGCGCCATCCTTTCTGCCAAGGAGGGTCGCGTTCGTATACGGCTTAGAGATCTCTCGTCAGATCGGTAAGCCAATCCATAAAGGCGGTGTTTAGTGGGTAAAAGTCTCCACACAATCACGCAGCCGGCTGCGTGGTATGCTATGAGCATTCATCGCCTCCCTCCCCCGCGTTCCGGAGGGTTGCCCATATTTGCTTCGGGCGCAAAAAAAAACTCGCCGCTTACTTAGCCGTAGAATCTACATCACCTGAGGATGTCTCGTGTGGAGGCGAAACACGTGTCGTATTATTGTCGATGGTGTGTCTTACCTGGAATAGTGGTGTTGGAGGTAATGGTGCCGGGAGTAGTGGTGCTGGGACTAACGGTTACGGAGTTAGTGCATGCAATTGAGGGAGGGCGGAAGGTGCTCTTCAATCCAGGTAAGATATATCATTGTATTTAGTTAGCGAAATGTTGCAAAGTAACTAATATTTTTATTATAATGTATTTGATGTCTTACCATCAGGTAGGTAATGTTATAAATATGTTGTTATATATGTGTATTATAGTGTTATAATGTATTTCATAATATTAACACAATTTTCACTAGCAATTTTTATTATCTTCAAATGTTTAATACTCAATCATAAGTAAGTTTCCGAGGTGTAGCGATTATCACATCTGTCTTACACCTAGATAGTCTCCGGTTCGACCGAGGCAAAATTTTTTTTAAGAATTTTGCGAATTTACGAAAAACTGCCTACGTACCCTCCTCCCCCCGCCACTTTGCCCACACGTGATCCCCACGTGGCCCCCACGCTTATCAGACCTAAATATGCTAGATTTTTTTATTAGGGTTCTCTTAAGGAAGAAGTTTACGCAAAGCCGATCCGTTCCTTGGAAGACCTACGTAGCCGTATGCGTGCAGGCGCATTGAAAACAAGCGATCCACGCAATACGCGACTGCTCAGGAGAGCATTCATTCGTACATATAGGGCTTGCATCAGAGTTAGTGGTAGACAATTTGAAAATTTATTGTAATTTATAACGAGTAAAGTGTTATTAATGTCAAATTTTATTTTTTATTAAACCCCAAAGTTCAGGTACATTTAATGTAAATAATATTCCAATATTGCAAACCTTGTTTTTTAACCCTAGAACCGTACCCATAATAGACTTTAAATATCAGTACCCAGGGGTTCTAGTGTACCCCGTTAAATAAAACACTTTTTTTTACATAAGAATAGACATTTATTAATAATCAACATACATAGACTTTTATGGCACTTATTTCAGTCTCACGTTACATAATTAAACAAAAAATTAATAAACTTAAACTAACAATTTTGGCAAATCTTTTTTTGGTGCTCTAAAAATATAAAACTTTTACATTTTTCGTATCGAGTGCGTGATTTACGGTCTTTTGACCTGGGACAAAATGAACATCTACCAGATTTTGAATCTGAAGAGGATGGAGAACTAGAAAGTCGTCTTTTTTCTAAAATGCCGCCAATACTTATTTGTAGATGCATAGGCAAAGTTTAATATAAAAATCGGTCCTCCTAATATGGTTTTATAAGGTCAAAAGCTAAGACCTTCAGAAAACTCCGTCTGTTCTTGAAAACTTGTTTACCATTGGCTTTTGATGAATGCAGTAATATCATGGAGTTAATTCCCACAATGTTCAAAATTCCGTAGAATACACAAAGGCTCCGGCGACGAGTTTTGTGAGAAACACTGTATGTATGACAAAGCTGATCAAATGTATCCACTCCTCCTTTCATTTGATTATAAAAACTTATTATTTCTGGTAAATCAAGAGATTTGTCTTCGTCTGGTTTATAGTGCATAGCAGAAAGCATAATCACGTTTTTCTTTTTTCCTTTACTTAGCTTTGGAGGCACATATGATAACAGAGTAAGTTCGTCATGAAAAGCAAACATTGATATGTTCTTGAGGCGGTTTTTGGTTTCCAAAAAATGAGTAGGGATTTCTGTTTTATTTTTTTCATTGTTCCAACTATTGTAACATTTTTGGTTAAGAGTTTTTCGGCAGCAGGGATTGAAGTAAGCCAGTTATCGTACGTGATATTTCTATTAGACCCATGAATAGAAGTTGAAAGCTCCAATGCGTAATACTCAGCCACTGGTAATTCACGTGGTGTAGATTCTTTTCCAGTGTATATTATACTTTTTATCATATACTAAGATTTTGCATCACAAAACATTAACAGTTTTATTTAATATTTATCGAGTTTTGACGGAATATACATACGGAATGGGCATCTACCGCGAAACACAAGTAATTGCTCGTCAATCGTTTTGAAAAGTGAAGATGAATAAAGACTTTTTGAAGTTTCAACAATGTGATCGAACAGTTCTTTTATTGGTGCCAATGGTGTAGACCGAAAATAGTTGATGCCCGTATTTTATCAAATATTTCTTTGACAGACAAGTGATTAATTTTTAAACCTCCAGCTAAATAGTATAAGCCAAAGAGAGCTTTTAATTCGGTTACTGTTACATCTCGGACAAAAGAAGGTCGAATACTTGTAGGAACAGAATTATCATCATCATCATCACTTTGAAATGCTATTGGCCTGTCTGACTTATACTGCTTGCGCTGTTCAGATATCTCAAGATTAGTATTAGTTATATATGCAATAATTATCATATGCAAAATCTCATCCGTAAAAAATAATTTCCAACTATCTAAGGTATTGGTAGTAAATTAAGCAAGAGATTTATTTCCTGGTGCATGAAATATTATACTTCTATGTGGAGTACGCGAGGAACGGCGATGAGTCCCATACCACAGAAATTTTTTGCTAGTTTTTTTGCTTTTTTGTTCCTTTACCTCGCAAAGCTTCGGGTACTGTAAGAACTGTTACTGGAGAATTTCTGATTCTAACCTGGACAATATCCTCTTCAATTTCTTCTTCCGAACTTTCAAGATCTGTTTCATGGTTAGAGCCATCCTCTTCGACAGGAACCTGTTCATCGCGAAAATCGGGAATAATTTCATCCAGTTCATCTTCTAATTCATCCCCAAGAAACACTTCATCTTTATCACGAACCTCCAGAAGGAGGTTTTGAATTTCATTTTCTGAAAGGTTTTTTCTTGACGCCATCTAAAAAGAAGAATTACAAAAAATTCGTTACAAAACAAAATAACGTAAATAAAAATGTATAAATATTGCGAATAAATATTAAGTACAAACACATTGTATGCAGACAAAGTTACTTCTAAGGTAATATTGCAATGTTAAAATTAAAACCATGAATCAAACAAAAAAATATCATAGATTATTTCATAAAAAACATCCACTAATTAGTAACTAATATAATTACCTTAACTGTGCCCAGGGGTGCTGGAGTACCCCACACACGCGTTACCACGACTGCACGCTAACAGAACTCGCGCCCGACTGATGCTTCGACACAACCCCCCGTACCCCATAAATACGCGCCGGTGCAAAAAGATCCGTTTTAAAACAAAAAAGTTATAGCCAATTTTAAATATATTTTTTCAGTTGTACCCCAGGGTACGGTTCTAGGGTTAAGCAAATTTCACTCCTTTTAATTTCGAATGGCAATTATTCACTATTTGCATTAGGTACAATGATAAATAATACCACGTTCAATACATTCAGACGGTAAAAAATCATCTAGAATATTATAGTCTTTTTTTCATGGTCTATACTATTTGCATAAGAACAAAAGTAACTGACTTAGCCTCCAGCCCGATGGCCATCAAAAGTTCTCAAATGTCAGTATACCGGCAAGGAGAGTGTTGGGCGATCCCCACTAGATAGATGGAGTGACAACTTGAATTATTATTAAATGTGGTAGATCCATGCTACATCTACATTATGATCACACAGAATACCAACGAAAAATAACTGCTTGATTCTGCTGTGGATCATATGGAGATTGTAGAGAGCCGGAGACCCTTTTTACTGGAAACGAGGCATTACATTTTAGTCTTCACTAGTGACAACGCATCTGCATTTTTGTTCGTAATCGAGGATAGATGTCGATATCTATGGGCCACCACTTACCATTAGGTGTATTGTGTGCGCGGATGTCATTCCTATCCAAAAAAAAGAAAGCATTCCTACTAAATTAGAGGTCTGAATAAAAAAATATATTAGGGGAAACTAATATATTTTTTTAAAGTAAAACTGATGATAAAAGCTCAAAGTAGCTAACTTATATTTTAATAAAATAAAAAATTCAAATGTTTCATATAAAGTTAAAAATTTTCTGAAACATACTTAGATACAAGGTTACTATTAGTTATCATACTTCCCACACAAAAAAAAGTTCATTTTATTTTTTTTCCTTGATTAAAGCCCTAGTGTGGGATGCTACTTGCGTTGACACTTTGGCGGCCTCTCATATCAAGGGTCCTTTTAGAGTCGGGGCGGCATCAGAGGCGGCTGAAATAAGTAAATGGCGCAAATATCAGTCTTTGAGAAATTACTACATATTTGTGCCATTTGCTGTAGAAACTATCTGTCCATGAGGACCACGTACAGTGAAGTTCCTAAAGAACTGTGTCCGCGACTTGTCGTCGCTGCTGGTGACTGGTTATTTTCTTGCTCAATGGCTAAGTATAGCTATTAAGCGAGAAAACGCAGCCGGCGTTCTTGATACGATACCACGCGGAGCTTGACTTTTTGACAGTTTGAATTTTTAGTTTTAGTTTTCCTATATTAGTTTCTTTTTTTCATTTTTATTTTGTGTTAATATTATATATATATATATATATATATATATATATATATATATATATATATATATATATATATATATATATATATATATATATATATATAATTAAAAATTAAAAAAAATTGTGTTGGGTTTTTTTCTAGTTCTTACTAGGACAGAGGTTTTTCCCAAACCAGTGGTAAGAGTAAAAAATTACTATAAATAAATATTCTTATAGTTGAATATGAATCTAAAACTGATTCTATTCTATTTTATATTTAACAGTTTTCTAACACCTATCAACTTATTTCTCTAGTTTGCCCGAGTTGGACGGGTAGAGATTACCATAATGCATAAGGTCCGTCCATTGAATCCCTTAAATCAAGGTGCCCTACAATAAAAGTAAAATAAATAAATATATTTAATTCAAAAAATTAGCAACGCTACTTTGCCAAATTTTCCTATCAAATGTCACGTTCGTGGCAAGAATGAAAGAGAGTAAGGATGCAAGGTCAGAGACACGCGAAATTCAAAACACTACAAGACCAGGATGCTAACGGATAGTATTATTGACTAAATTGACTCTGATTTAACTGTTACTCAAAAAGGGAACGAGATCCTCAGGGTGTGCTACGAGTGCCCTGAAAGTCCCATACTAAAATACTGGCAAACCGCCTTTTGGGGGCAATTTTAATAGGAGCTCGTATTAATTTATGATTTTAGTTAGTAATTGTATCTTTATAATTATACATTTATTTTGTTTTTAACATTTAGTGATATTTGAAATGGGTGAAAAAAATCCTGAAATAAATGACTCTTATTATTATTAATATTAATACTACTTCAAAGTCATGTACTCCGACTCAGGAATATTATCTCTTTTCCTATTTAGTATCCTTCTTACCTATGGTGAAGTTCAGCAGTGGACTTGCGATGAGCTGCAATGACTATACTGATGATATCCCATAAATACACAGTAATAGATTCTTTCATCTATACAATATGAAATAACTGTCTTCTGTTTTGCTCAAAGAGTTATGTTGCATGCTATAATAGCATAAATAACATTTTTTTTTAATTTTTCATCCAAGCTAAATTTAGGAATGGCTGAACCGAATGTGATGAAACTTTATGAATAGACAGAGAGCAATGCCAAGAGAGAAGAGAGATCTAGGCTATATTTTATCCGAAAACCTTAGAACTTGCAAATTACTTTTAGAAAAAAGAAAAATTTTTTTTAAAACAATAGTTAACAGATCTTATTCGGTTTCCATGGGAAGCCGGGTCGGCTTACTTGTGTAAGATTACATTATTTAAAATAAGTTAGTTTATAATAATAATAAATTAGCTTGGATCTTGACCAACTGCTAGAGGAGATATTTATATTAGATATTTTGCGTAAATCGAACCGAAAAATTAATATTAAAAACTGAAGGTAGCTGGGCTAACTATGGCATTGGGACGTCAAACATCTCAGTCCCCCGTGACCATGGGTGCTGTAAAGCACCCGAAACGTCGGGAATCAAAAAAAAAAAGTAAATTCAGTTAAATAAACTCGATCAAATCCGTAAATTTAGTTTTATTCAATTAGAAGGAGATATTTATATTTGAAAGACCCAAGATTTTTTTTTGATTGATCAAATTATTTAGTCAACAACTCGAAGGGCCGCCAAAAAAATCATCGAGAAGATAGGTTCTCGATAGGCTGTAATAGTAATTACCAAAACGATTTAAAACATGTATGTGGTAGTATTTAGTAAGGCGCATTAATAGCGCGATTTAAAAAACTTGTAGCTCCATCTATCAAAAAACTGAAGAACTATTTGCACATTCATTACTTTTAAGAGGTGAAGTTGACGAAGATTTGATGAAAAAATATAGATTATATGATATATGAAAGAAGCCTGTCCACGATAGTTAAACAATTGTAATGTTCATGTACATGACTCACGAGAGAGTGAAATGACAGTTAAAGTGGTTAAGAGAGGCTGACGGTGAAATGAGAATGACGACTTATTAAATAAGTTACTTTACAGATTTAAATGAACGAGTTTTTTAAATTATCTTACGTAATGAAAACTTTAATTTTTTTATCAACCACTATTCAAATATTTTTACTTAAGTTAAAAATGAAGAAGAAGAAGAATGTTTTTTTATGAATGTATGCATAAAAAACATGTACATGACGATGTAATATCTACAATTTCAATCGCTGTGACTGGATTCAACTCTCCGAATCCAGACACAATTGTTATAAAAATATCCCCCTTCTCCAGTGAAAAGACACGCTACCGATAATAAAATAGAAGCATATTATATATACACCGTAGTTCTGAAACAGTATACCTAAATTATTCCAATTTTGTTTTATTATTTGGAGTCGCAGTTTGAGTAAACGGATCACGACATCAATACAACTGTATTAAAGGCATGAACTGTATATGCAAAATCCGACTTTAAGGAACTAAATGTAATAAAATTATTTCCACTTAATAGCGTCTAAGGTCGAGGTTTTAATGTTTCAAAACAATATGCTATAGCGCCATCTATAAAAGATATTACGTGGAAATTATTTTATTTTATTTTATTTTTTATGAAATCAGTGTTTACTTTTTATTAGAAGATTATTTTTCTGACCCTTTGAGTGGACGAATAAAGATTACAAGTTCAAGAATACAAATAGAATGAATATCATAGAAATATTTAATTTATAAAAAGTCACTTCCTCTTTTTCTACTCATAGGTGTGAATTCGTTTCGAAAATTGTAACTATTTAAAACAATATGCTATGCAATACTTCCTACATTTGAGCTATTTGATGTTCTGAATATTCAACTGGTTTGTGTCAGCATGTAATGAACAGCCCATGTATGTGAATGTGATTAAAATGTGAAGGGGGACTGCCAAATCACTGAAGATTAGAGTGAACTTGGTTTCAGTGCCAAAACAAGCGTGGATTTCGCCATTCTTTGTGCCAAATTTTAATCAATGCTCTTTACCAATGGGTTTAATTAATGCCATTGTTTACATTGTATTAGTGAGAATCCACATAAGAAAATCATTTCTTATCATTATCGCCAATAATATATCGCCAATATCATTTCTTATTTTCACTTTGTGTAGGCAGATCTTCCTTTCGAAACACCCTAAAGCAAACATATTTAATAAAAAAACAATACAGATAGAACAAGGTAAAAATATCACTAAACATATAAATGTCTCCACACTGAATACTCGGACACTAAGAACAGAAGAGAGCCTAAAATAACTAGAAATAGCCATATCTAACATAAAATGGTTCATAATTGGCATCAGCGAGATGATAAGGCCAGGAGAAGGGATAGAAGAGAGGAAAGACTATATCATGTTTCACAAAGGAGAACACACCGGACAAAAAGGAGTAGGTTTCCTCATCAAGTCTAAACTGAAGAAGAACATTATGGGATTTGAAGGAGTTTCTGACATAATTGCTGTTGTTCATTTAAAATTTCCGGGGTACAAGAAAATCTGGGCCATCTTTCAAATATACGCCCCAACAGTACAAGCAGGGAAATCAGAAATAGAATATTTCTATGAGAGTATGTCAGAAGCAATAAAACCGCATTACAACAACAACATAATAATCATGGGCGACTTTAACGCACAGGTTGGAGAAAGGCAAACTGGAGAAGAATCCTCAATCGGGAAGTTTGGGCACGGCAAAAGAAGCCAAAATGGACAGAAATTAGTAGAATTCATGATGGAAAATAACTTTATTTTAATGAACTCATGTTTTAACAAAAAAAACTGAAAGCAAATGGACGTGGTCCTCCCCAGGTGCAAAATTCAAAACTGAAATTGACTTTATTATACAACAACAAAGCAAGTGCGTTCACAGATACCAACATAGTTAAAAACCTCAACTTTAACACAGACCACCGTATGGTAAGAAGCTGCCTAAACCTAAACCAACCCAAAATATCCAGGAAAAACCTAGTAAATAAGCTGTATCAAATATCAGAATTCAATCATTCCACTAATTCCCGCACAACAGAATAACTCAATGAAATTATTACCTGCGACGCAGGAACTGGGATTAAATACAGGAGATTACAATACAAATTGAAAGAGATGCTAGTCAGCAAACCCAGAAGCAAAGAAAGCTATTTAAGTAAAAAGACACTAGAACTATTAGACGAAAGAAGAACATTAATATCAAATAAAGTGGACAAAGAAAGACGCCAAAACATTGCAACCCTTAGATTAAGGAGAATATGAGGAAAGACCGTAAGGAGAAAAGAAATAGAGTTTTGGAAGAAAATATAAAGGGAACAGAAGGAACAAAAAAAGCTATGAAACAACTAAGCGAACATGGGAAAGAATGGAGAGCGAAACGAAAGCAACGCGAATCTTACTTAACTAATCGACTCTCAATACAGAAACTAGCTACTACTGAAACTGCTCTATCGGCCTACCATGGCTATGTGTCATCACTATTAAGTTACGGAATTATATTGTGGGGAGCTTCAGCGGATGTAAACCGGGCTTTCATAGCCCAAAAGAAATGTATTAGGGCTATTTGCAGAGTACATTTTCTTGAAAGCTGTAAACCCCTTTTCAATAAACTTGGAATTCTACCGCTACCGTGCCTGTATATTAAACAAATGTGTATTTTTGTACGACAAAATTCTCACTATTTTGTCACTAGAGAGCAAAACAAAAAAAATAAACCTACGAGACAGGGAGAAAGGATCGTGCAACCTAGAATAAGACTTCAACTATACAGACGAAGCTGTTATTGTATGGCTATTAAAATTTATAATAAGCTTCATCCAAGTTTCAAAGCTCTGCCGTTACCATGTTTTAAAAGAAAGTTACATTCCTGGCTTTTCACTAGGTGCTTTTATTCAGTCCATGAATACTTAGATGACCAAGAGGTTTTTAAATTTTAACTGTATATGTAGCTTCTCTGTGTTTACTTTATTTTATGACTTGAATAATTTGACATAAAATATTATACAATTTATAAATGATGACATGTAATGCTCTGTCTGTGACTCATGTTTACCATTAGTTTTCTGTTTAGTATGTTAACTTATTTTTAGCTCTAAAATGTAACTACTTTTAAATTTGCATGACAATATTAAGTCAAACATGAGGACGTACCATTATGTTAACATCTTTGCACTACCATGTTTAAAGCAAATAAAAAATTTCTGATTTCTGATTTCTGATTTCTGATACGGACTATTACCGCCTATTGAATTCTGATAATTTCAATTCAGGGATAGCCACAATTCCGGCGAAGTAAAAGAAAACAAAGTAGATGAAGTGCCAGAAATCCTTACATCAGAAGTAACAAAGGCAATAAAATCCCAAAAACTCGAGAAAGCCCCAGGGCCGGACAAGATACCTAATGAAATGCTCTAGGGATCCTTAGAGGAAATCAGTCTCGTGCTGGCAAAACTTTTCAATGAAATATTACAAACAAGGCAAATTCCAGAAGAATGGACCGAGTGTCACATAATTCTACTACATAAAAAGGCCATAGAGACGAGATTGGGAACTATAGGCCGATTTCTCTTATATCAAATGTATATAAAGTATTTGCTAAAGTGATCCTGGAAAGAACATCATTAAAACTCAACGAAAGCCAACCCGTAGAGTAGGCAGGATTCAGAAAAGACTTCAGCACAATAGATCATATTCACACAATAAAACAGTTGATATAGAAGTATAACAAATACAATAAACAAATCTACCTGACGTTTATAGATTACTCAAAGGCATTTGACAGTCTTAGGCACCAATACATATGGCGGAGCCTTGAACAACAAGGGGTCCAGAGCAACTATATAGAAAAACTTAAGAGTATATACAAATCTAGCAAGGCCAAAAACAGGAGAACCATTTCCTATCAAAAAGGGCGTGCTCCAAGGTGATCCTCTCTACCCTACACTATTTAACGCCGTACTCAAGCACATCTTTAGACAGCTAAACTAGGACCACTTAGGTCTGAACATAAATGAAGCTTGCCTAAACCATCTAAGATTTGCCGATGATCTGGTGCTGCTTGAAGAGAATCCAGCAGCAATAGAACAAATGATGCAGAGCCCAGCAAATATAAGTAGGGTAGTTGGTCTGGCAATCAATGCCATTAAAACAAAATTAATGTCAAACTCAAGGGAAATAGACGTTATGGTAGATGGCAACAAGATCGAATATGTCAAAAAATATATTTACTTAGGACAGATAATATCCCCTTCAGATGAAATGACAAAGGTTAATAAACAGGCGAATAGTCCAAGGATGGATAAAATACTGGTCACTGAAGGAAATATTGAAAAGTAAGCATCTAGGCAATCACATAAAAAGAAAACATTTGAGACCTGCATTCTACCAGTTCTTACTTATGGCTGTGAAACTTGGTCAACAACACTTCACCATAGGGAAAGGCTAACAAAATGCCAACGTGCCATGGGAAGAAGCATGCTAGGGTTAAAATCAAAGACAGAGTCAGGAACGTAGACATTAGAACAAGAACAAAACTCACAGACATTCTTTCCCGGATAGACGTCTAAAAATGGAGATGGGCTGGACATTTGCTACGCCACCACATTAACAAATGGAGCAAGCAAGTGTTATATACTGTACTTTAATCAGTCACTCGCTAGGCGCTTGTAAAGTTGTCACGTGTTGTGTTGATTAAAAAAAAAACTCTTGGCAAAAATATGCCGTCGTGTGTACTTAGATATTGCACACATAATTCAAGAAATGTCAGTTAAAATCAGGGAATTACTTTTCATCGACTAATAAGATACTTAATCAAAAAAGTATTATAGATTAATAATAAAACAAATTATTCCTAAGACGCTATCTCGTGTCATGGAATATAGATTATGAAATTAATTTGTTCAGACGTTACATTTCTGTGGGTACTTAAGTATAGGACGAATAATATTATTATACACACACTTTTTGTAGAAAAATATATATGTTATCATAATTAGGCTAATTTTTTTTATATTTAAATCTGCTCATTATTCTTTTATTTTGTTTTAAGGTTTCCAAATCTAAGTCAAAGTGGAATAAATTCGTCTATTTTTAACTCTCCAGTGCCCAACATTTATGAACGAATCTTATTAAAAAAAAAAACATAAACACTCACGCCTGTCACTCAGAGGGGTAGGCAGAGACTACAGACTTCCATTTAGCATGATCCTGACATACATTTCTCGCCTCTTTCACATCCATATACCTACGCATACACGCTCGTCGGTTAAGGGTACTCTTAATTTGGCCCATTTTTAGTATATCGCCAATTTGGTCGACAAAATTCCGCCTAGGACGTCCCTTTCCGACTCTTCCATTCACTTCTGCAACATATATTTGCTTTGTCAGTCTTTCCGCATTCATTCTTTCTACATGACCAAACCACCGAAACATTCCTTTCTTAATCCTGGTCACCGCATCATCTTGCAAACCACACTCTTCTTTTATCACACAGTTTCTCATCCTGTCACTCAGATTCAGCCCTAACATACTCCTTAGCGACCGCATTTCTACTGCATTTATTCTACTCTCGTGCTTCTTCTGCCACACCCAACTTTCACTACCATACGTTAAAGTAGGGACTAATACAGCACTGTGAATTGCCATATGTGCCTTTTTTGACACATTCTGACTTTTCACAATAGAGTGTAGAGCCCCATTTACTTTATTTCCTGCATTCACTCGTCGTTCAATATCCTTATCATATCTCCCATCCCTGCTGAATACACATCCCAAATATACGAACTCATCCACTTGCTCAATTAACTCTCCTTCTATTCTTATTTCACATACCGTTTTGCTTTCATCTCTTTCAAAAACCATCACTTTCGGGATGACGTAATGACCTGTTCATTAATGTAACCATCATTTGCAACTCGGCCGCCGACGACGCAAGTATGACTTGATCATCGGCGTACAACTCACCCATTCTTAACCCGCATTCTTCAACTTTCAAATTTTCCAAACAGCTGTCCATAAATAGGTTGAAC